GCCCTCGAAGATCGAGCTGCAAGTAAGGCAAATCACTATGCGGGAACTTTGACACACACACAATCTACCCTCCTTACTGCTGCTTTTTCAACGAATGGTGGTCTTGGCAAAGGCACCAATCGACTCATCGTTGCTATCGCCAACCACTTGGCGCACGAAGCTTTTTGCCGGGAAAATTTTGACGACGAGAGGGCCTTAGTTCGCCTGAAAGCTTTTCATACTAACAGGATTCGGAGACGGTTTACCTTCGAGCTAGCTCGTTTTCTGTCGATGCGAACTCGCGATGTGTTCAAACGTCATGGGCTACTGATCGACCAACTTCCACCAGGGCCAATCGGTTGGGATCTCTGCGACAACGATAGTAGTGAGGGTAATTCTTTTGGGAGTGACGAAGACGAAGGAAAGGGAAAGGGGAGAAAGGAGGATGACGACGATGGAGCAGAAAAACATGGAGGAGTGGAAGAGAGCAAAGGGTTTGAGCCAGATGACCTTCCCCACAACAAGAAACGTAGGGCTAGGGAAGAACTGCCCAGAGATTCTTCTTGTCGAAATGAGGATCAGAATGATGGTAGCGAAAACAAGGAGGACACTGGTGAAAGTACTCCTAAACGAACTCGAGTACTAGGTAATAGCCTTGGTAGACGCGTGCATTTTTCGTCTGTTGCTGCTGTTTCTGTTTTTAATCCGAAGGATAGTTTAGCCTCCCCCATGCTGCCCCCTCACGGGGTCCCAGTTCATGGTAGATAGAAGTCTATCGTGTTTTCATCCGCACTGAGACTGACGTCTTTTCATTGGTCAGCCGGTTCGCGCGGTCGATGCTAATAATAAAGACACACACACAATCTACCCTCCTTACTGCTGCTTTTTCAACGAATGGTGGTCTTGGCAAAGGCACCAATCGACTCATCGTACCTATCGCCAACCACTTGGCGCACGAAGCTTTTTGCCGGGGGGCGAAAGAGACTTTGTTCGCCTGAAGGCTTTCATACTGGCAGGATTCGGAGTCGGTTTACCTTCGAGCTAGCTCGTTTTCTGTCGATGCGAACTCGCGATGTGTTTCTTCGTGCGTAGAAGTAGATAGTCGAAAAGTAGCCGTTACGTAGGACGCAGCTGTGTCCTGCAGTGGTCGTCAGGGAGGGCGACACTGCTGGAGGAGAGAACAGCAGTAGGCCGGGCGTGGAAGGCGCCCTGTTGCGGGACGTGGAGGTCCCTGCTGCAGGTGGGTTTGGTGCATTCCAAGACACCAACTCTCTTCGTAGTACGTTCGGCAGTGCTTGCGTACAGCAGTCTGCTGCCGCTGGAGACACTGGTGAGAGTGTCACAGCAACCGATCAATCCATTCAGGGGAGGTCGGGTGGAGAACGCGGCACGGCGGAAGGGTCGTGTCCACTGTTCTGTCTTGCTGTAGTAGCGGGCGGGGCGCACAGAAGTCGCCGGAATTGATGGTGCAACAGAACGGACGGAGGGGCCGTGAAGTCGCGCAGTTTTGGCGCGCACTCCATCTGCGGTAAGGCGGTGGATCAACATGAAAGGCGTTAGAGTAATCGGCGCAACAGAACGGACGGAGGGGCCGCGAAGTCGCGCAGTTTTGGCGCGCATTCCATCTGCGGTAAGGCGGTGGAGCACCAGGACGGTAGAGAGACCGTTGGGCAGGATTGCCGGAGACACTCAACCATGGATCGACCGCGCGACGGCGCGGGGGGGGGGGGGCGCCGTACATGCTTGATGCTGGCGGTGTTTTGTTAAGTCGATCCAAGGCCGGCAGTAGAGGCCGGGTACGCCCTACCACGGTTGACACGCGCGACGGCACGTCGGGGGGTGGGCGCCGATCACGCGGGAGCGGGCGGCGTTTTTTGACCACAGCACGGACGGAGGGGCCGTGGCTGCTTTGCCTCGTCGTCGGAACGGGGGGGGCAGCATTATAAGGCGCGCGGAGGTGGCGCGCAAACCCAGCACGGACGGAGGGGCCGTGGCTGTTCTGCCTCGTCATAGGAGCGGGGGGAGTAGCATATTAAGTCGCGCGGAGGTGGCGCGCAACCATCAGCTGGAGGTGGGTGGTGGAACGGGGCACAGCTAAGTGGGTGTCATCAAAGTCGCGTGGGGAGGTGCCGCGCGCATTTCATCAGCCGGGAACGAGCGGTGGAGACAAGAATGCGTCAGGATGGACGTGAGGAATTAAAGGCGTGCTTCGCCATCAAGATGTGTTGGTGGAGTAGTTGGAATAAGCTTGGATTTTGTTGTCTTGTTTTGTGTGGAGGTACCAGTTTGAGGTCGTGATGAAATCAAGCAACTTGTATTCGAGGAAATTCTGTTCACTGTTGCGTGTTTCTTTCCGCCGTCATTTGCGCGTTGTCTTGCACCCAAATCGTGGTTGTTCTGAATGTTTGTGTTCGTCGTTATGCCATTAGTGCATCCTTCGCCGGTGACGTTGCGTAGCTGGTGATGATGGCAAAGTGTCGGGGGGTAGAGACGTTCACGTTGGTTGAATTTGTCACCATCACTCATGTGTGGGGGCTACGCGGTTATATGTGACCCACGGCCTAAGTAGGAGGCGCAACAAGTGTTTTGTATACCTGAGTTGTTGCAGAACAAGGGAGGGTGGAAACGGGCGTGTTTCGTGTGAGAATGTTATGCTTGAAGAGTACGCCCGGTCTTGGTATTATGCAACTTGACAGGTTGGTGTGTCGGGCAGGTATGCAGTTGTTAGTGGAAGTCGATTTTGTTTTCACGCACGGAAGCATGTTGGTTGTGTCTGTTTTTGGAAGCGACATCTAGGTGATGGCCATGTGCGTGTTCCTCTGGGCGCCGGTGTTGCGCAAGGGAGGGCACTAGGCTTAGGTTCCTGGTGTGCTTGTCTATAATGCAGACAGCGTAGATGCTTGGGGTTCGTAGTACAGCGTTNATTGGTGTATCGGGCAGGTATGCAGCTGTTAGTGGAAGTCGATTTTGTTTTCACGTACGGAAGCATGTTGGTTGTGTCTGTTTTGGGAAGCGACATCTAGGTGATGGCCATGTGCGTGTTCCTCTGGGCGCCGGTGTTGCGCAAGGGAGGGCACTAGGCTTA